AACTAAGTGATATCTTCTTCTCCTTTCTTCATCCCCACAGGAACTTGCATTGAATGACTTCCAATCTTTTTTGCCATCTTTACTAGGATAGTCAGAGCAGATAAGAAGTAAATAGGAAGATCAGAAAGTGCACTCCTTATGAGAATTAGCCTTCCACCTTTAGATAAGAAATTCCTCTTACATCCTGCAAGTCTTGTTCCAAACATCTTAATCATTGGTCCCACGTCCTCGCATCCTTATACTTGGAACCTAATGGTAAACCAAGGTACTCAATAGGCAGTATGACCGCTTTGCACCCAACACACCAGCTAATGCCATTTAATGTGTATCGATATACTTAAAAACATTAACTATTGAGGTTGAAGAGTCCAAACTCATACAAAACCCCACATTGGTCTTATACTTTCTATATTAGATAGAAGTCCCATACCTAGCAATTACTGCCTGATGATCCATCACATTCAGCAGCCCCGTCACTCATGCAAGATAGATCTGCACTAATTCTCTTTAACTACTCCAAGCCCATCCCAACATCATCACTCATGCTGCACCAACATCATCACAGATGCTCACCATTGCAACTGGATATATGGCGGATGGCCCGACTACCATTTATATGGTCTTAGGAGAATGATAACTCGAAAATTAACTATAGGACTGGTGCCCAAGCCTGCCACACAAAAGCCTCATACTTCCAACGTGGAATTCAAACCTCATACCTTGCTCGTAACATATAATGCTATGCATGCCAAGTGCTGCACAACTTACAAAAGAAGACTATTTGAAGTCATCATAGTAACTGGAAACAGGCACGAGATATAACTCAAAGTTAAAGCAATCACAATCAGTTAAAGCAACCGTAAAATTACTATGCATGATCTCCATAATTTAAGCGCGCATCATTATCCAATCTTAAGTCCTTACCTAATATGAATCTCTTAACTTCGATTCAGATCATTCATCCAAGCTTTTAAGTCCATAGCTAATATGTAGCTCTCTCTCTCTCTCTCTCTCTCTCTCTCTCTCTCTCTCTCTCTCTCTCTCTCGATATACCCACACACACACATGTATATGTAGAAAAAGGTAAACACAATGTCATATGCAACTTCTACGAAAGTTGATAAGTCTATGAGGCCTTCCATGGATGGAAGAAAACCCAAACCCAAATAAAACGTTTCATCATCTCATTTGCTATAAAATGCAACAGCTATGGGAAGACCATTGCATCTCAAAATAGCACTTTACCTTGCAAGCTCTCTTCTTCAGAAGAACCAAAATCAACATCAACTTATACTCCAAGAATGTCTCAGTTAATAAAACTCACTGTCTAAGCCGAACTAAATAAAGCCTAGCATAACACTGAATTTAACCCAGATTGCAAAATAGATAACAGCTCAACATCAACGAGAACATGGCCTACCACAGTAAGTAGCTATACACCATAACATACCAGAACAAGCACAGTTGGAAGTCGGATCTTGCATGCAGCGATTCATACAGTAACCGTTAACAAACCTTCAATTATACACTCTCGCAAGTCAATAATCAAATAGAGCTCCATGCACTGAATGATCGTAACATTATACAAACCCATAAAAGACAGGTTGGTGATCGCAGAGAATGATCAAATTGAATCGAAACACGAGAAATCAAACAAAGAATAATTAACAGCTACTCGCAAGAGAATTTTTCCATCCAAGGGGAACCGCACGTAGGAAAAATATTTCAAACAAGCAAACCTTGGAAGTTGAAACCCATCGCTCTACCCGACATACCCATTAACATAATCATATCAAAAGAACCATAGAAAAGCAAAATTCGAGATACCCATGAGCAGATTCTAAAAACAATACAACAGATGAAGAATTATATATGCACAATATCAAAACAACGGAAGATTGAAGAACGAGGTGAAGAGTGCTCGATACTCACCCACGACACTCGATCCTGCCGAGCCAAGCGTCATGGATAATTAACTGGCGGCTTTGCTTGTTAAGATCTGAAACGAAGAGAGATAGAGAAGAACAGATACTCGGGAAATAGGGGTGTGATGAAGAATCTGGGGAAAGGCGAGCGACGAAGACAGAGATGGGAATAAAGAAGAGAAAATGAGGGCAATACGGGATTGAGAAAAAGATATCTAAGTTTTTTAAATATTTTTTTTTTATAAGTAAAGCATTTGCTAATTAACTTTTTTTTTTCTTTTTGTAAAATTATTTTTTAAAAAAAGAATATTGCACCATTTTAATGGATAGTGCCACGATGGTTCGTTTAGCAAATAGACGCCTTTTTTGGCCCATTTAAAATTTTTCTCTTTCCTTTTTTTTTTTCCTCACAATATAATCAGAATTTATAGTGATTTAAAAAATGTTATAATTATTAAATTGAGTTTTAAAAAAAATGTTAATTAAAATAATATATATTTTAGTTCCCGCATTAAATAAATACCCATGTTTAAAATTATTATCTTTTTATTTTACTCATATTTACCATTTATTGTTATATTTTAATTTATAATTTTTTAATACGAGTTAATTTCTATATTCTAATTTAGTTTAATTAAATTTATTTTTTTAAATACATTGTGAATGTATATAAATTAAAATATATATATAAATTTAAATAACGTAATTAAATTATTATCTATATAAATGAAAAAATAATATATATTTACACAAATTATAGATTAATTTGATATGTTAAATAGGTTCCAAAGTGTAATAACTATGACTTATCTTATTATTTTAATGTTGTTGAGGTTACAATCAAACTAAATAAGTTATACTTTGTGGCTATTGTTATTTTTTATTTTTTAAATATATATATATATCTTAAGTTGGTTTTATATACTTTCTTTTTTGAAAAAATAATTTTAAAATACATATATGTTTCTAGAAAAAAATATATCATCATAATTTAAAAAAATATAAATATCTTTAAATAAGGATAATTTGGTAATTATATAGAAAAAATATCATCACATGATTTAATTTTTATTATATTTTATAAATTCAATGAATCACAAAATTTATTATTATTTATTTAAACGTTCAAAACAATACATAAATTTAAGATTAAATAAATCAATAATTGAGGATTCAAAAAGATTATATAATATAACGTAGAAACTAAAAATTTTATGTGTAACAATAAAAAACTTAACTGGTAAACTGTAGGGAAAAAATTAAAGGGATTGAATTGTAATTAGACTCAATCACATGGATGAAACTGTAATTTACTGAAAGTAATATGGACCTTTTTATTGTTGGGCCTAGCGGCCCATAGTAAGCCCATGAAATCGAATTGCAAAACGACGAAGCTGATACAGTCCGCAATGATTCTTAACCCCATTTACGCCGACGAGACACGAATCGATCCGTCTAGTTACAGAAAGACTAGGAGACTACAGAGGTACATACAGCAAAACATTCAGCGCAGGCAAAGAGCGATTCACCACAGAAAGTGGCTACTCGTTATCGCTTTGAACGCGGTATACTACATTGCTTTAAGCTCAATAATTTGTATTAGTGCTTCTTGTTTTGATTTCATGAATGAAACGAAGGTTATTCTAGTTGTGTTTTACATTGCTGCGGTTAACATCGTGCGTATGCGATGTTCGACAAAAGTCCTGTGTGAATATCCGTTGTTTGGTTGGCGAGAAAACAGAATAGGAAGGCATGAGAAATCGAACCATTCGTTTCGTTTTGTTTTGTTTTGTTTTGTTTTGTTTTTTTTAATTCGATGGCTCTACAGAGAGAGAGAAAATTTCTATGCTAGGATCGGTTGACATGCGTTGGTTATCTACCGTTTTCGAATCAAATGATTGATTTGCTTTTTATATTCTCCCTCGAGCGCCCAGGATTTGTTTGTTGATTACTCCTAAGTAAGTTTTGTGCATGAATCAGAGAGTTTGATCGCTAGATAGTCTGTTTGGCACGTCGTTGTTTTATATTATTTGCTCCTTCAATGCTGTTTCTGTTGATTACTTTTGGAACGTGTCCTTATTCTGAGGAAAAGGAGTATGTGAAAGGTAGGTTACTTTTGAGATGTGAAAATATTTTATATTTAATATTTATTAAATGTATGTATTTATGCATATCTTTGCTAATAGAAGGATGTAAAAGTAATACATTGTGAAATACTGAACAGCAAATAAAATAATCTTTTAGACAACGATAAAGACAAATCATTTTCCCTATTGTTAATCTTAGTTGTTAATAAATCTTTATCGTTTTGAGAATGAAATACATGTAAGTAGAAAATGAAAACTAAAAGATGTTTTTGTGCACCAAATGGAGTTTTTTTTGGGCACGTCTTCTATGGATTTATTTTTTCCTATTTTGATGTCGACTATTTTTTTAACAAACTCAGTTGTTTGTGTTGTGAAATTGGTGTAAGTTGTTCACATCACATTTTTTTATCTGTTAATGCAAGCACATACTTGAGGTAATTGTGATTTGTAACGGGTGATGATTAAGAAACTACTTCAGGTTAAAGGTTGTTTTGTGAGATTCTGTGCAGAAGTATTTTTTTTTCATGCATAACTTGTGAAGGTGTGAGAGCATGAGCAAGGCGGTAGTGTGTTGCAAAGAATGTTGGTGATCCATGATGATAAACTGCTTAATGGGATATGGATCCACGAAGGAGTACTTTGTTAGCATGAAAGCACACATATATGTACGTGTATGTAAATACACATACACATGATTCACTGCTTATTGGAGCTTCACGGTTTGAGGAGTTTGTCGTGAGGTTTAAAGACAGTGATATAACAATTGGAGCTTCACAAAACCTTCTGATAAAAGAATGTATCAGTAGGCAGTGCCTTTAGAAGCAACAATCTTTTAGCATAGTCAAGAAAGTATGTTTACATATATAACATAATATAAGAGACCACAAATTTCATATACATTATACGAAAGCATATGTTATATTTATTTTTTAAAAAAAACATATGTTATATATCTTATAGCAGGCATTCCATATAAAACTAAGTGGTTATCACTCTATCAATCAAAATCAATCTAAATCCCATAAGAACTGATGGAACTTTTCCTTGTTTTCAAGTAAAGTATTTGGGCCATTCAGAGAGAGAGAGAGAGAGAGAGGAAAACTGATTGATTTTAATTGATAGTTTGGTAACTGCTTAGTTTTTCTATACAATGCCTGCTATATTGTATAGAATATATGCCTTCGTGTAATATGTTTAAAGTTTGTAGTAAAGAAACTGATTGATGGATGAATATCAATGTCCAGATAAGAATTTTATATGTGGAAGACATGCATGGAATTTGATTAGGGCATTGAATGGGCTTGCTGTTTCCTCCATCGAAGGTTACATATATCTGCCGTTTGTCCAAGTTCTATTTACAGTTCTACTTATAAGAGCATGGCAGCTATTGAATTTTTCTTAGAAAGGGGGGGAGGGGGGGCTTGGGGATTTGAAGACCAAGGAGAAAAGGAAGTTGCCGTTTTTGAAGTAAAACTAATATATGCAACATGTACTGCTATACTTCTATAAGCCTGTATGGCATGTCCTGCTGTGCTCTAGTTCTGCATAGGATGAAGAATTGCAAACCTAATAAACACTATAAACTTTATTATCAGGTTTGATTCTTTTGTTATTTTACATTTCATATATAAGAAAGATGTAGGGAAATGAAAATAATGGATATGAATTTTGTCAGATCCTACTCCCTTGTGATTGCTTGCATTGCTCTAGCTAATTAAATTGCTTGATGGCATGAAGTTATTGGATTGATCAACGTTCATCTTAAGATTATGAATATATTAATACTAATATGAATATCCATAAAAATAATAGGAACAGATGGCGATGTTCTGAGCTGAAAGATAAGTTGTTCATTTGTGCGAAAGGAATTACGCAAGAGAACAAGAGGACTACTCCCTTCATTTAAGGAATAAAAATGAGCGAAACAACTGAGACTTTTTTTGCCATGTTGTGGCACTGGCAGAAATGGATATACATTATATTATGCAATTACTAGTTTCAATATTCTGATGTCTCCTAAATGGTTTTGTCTCTTGTAAAAATTTTATGCATTTTAGGTTTTCATGATGCAGATGTCTTTGTACATTGGCAATATATCATCTCGCACTCACCGAGATGGACTCCAGCATGTATTTAGAAGGTTTGGACGATGCACTGTATGGCTTAAAGATGGATATGGATTTGTAGTATATGATTTCCCACCTGATGCAGAGAAAGCTCTGAGAGCACTGCAGGGTCGGAATATTTGTGGGGAGCCACTGACTCTTACATGGTCCAACAAACAGCCTAGACCTTCAAAAAGGTTTGCAAGAGCTGATAGGTCCTACAAGCAATTACAAGATCAGGGTTTTTCTAGAGGAGGAGAATATGTTAATCACAACTTAGATTCAAACAATATGCGAGATTACAAGATGGGTTTCGAGCAACCAGAGAGTACTGGTGGAAGACACAGTTCTGCTGACATTCTTGATGAAAAGACAGGTTATCATCAAGATCCTATTATAGATAATGTTGAGGATGAGCATCACGAGCATGGAGAAGATTTGTTAGACGAGGACTGCAGCCTTGTACCGAACCTCAAGGATGATGATAGATGGGGCGGGCAATTTATAGACAGCGCAAACGAGAATGCATTGGAATTTGACAGATATGAACCTTACCAAAGTTATGACAGGAAAGATGAAGATGAGAATGATAGGATGACCTATTCTGGTCATTCTCCTAGTCGAGGAAGCTCTCAAGAGAGAACAAGGTGGGTGAGTGCAGGATCAGGTGAAGTAAATTTGAAACACCCGTATCATTCAAAACTACAGCAAACGTGCTATAGCTGTGGAGGCTTAGAGCACAAAATGCGTAGTTGTCCCAAAGGAAAAGCTGCACAAAGAAAATTCACCAGGTTTGATCATAGACATAAAAATGATGTTGGTAGACTTGATTGTGGTCAAGGTGAATTGAAGAGACATGGTACAAGGTCTCCAAGGGAGCAACATTCAAGTAGAGATGGTTCATCAAGGAGGCGAGTCAGGAATGACAGGAAATCATCTGATGTCAGAAAACATCAAAGTTTGGTACAGAGTGGAAGTTTCTTTGAGGAAAAGGAAAATGATAGAGCTTGTAGGAGGAACCATGAAGGAAAGAAGCGAGGTAGAAATGGAAATGGAAGTGTAAAAACACAGAATGCAAAGAAAACAAGGAGGTCAGCTTCATCCCCTCTTCATTCCGATTACATTGAATCCATATCACAATCTGCATCTAGATCGTTAAAATACTTGCGAAGGTCAATCTCTTATTCTCGATCGCGATCATCTTCTAGATCACCTTCCTTATCTTCTGATTCTAGGTCTAATTCCACATCATTCCGTAATAGGTCCAAAAGCTCCAAATCCAAAGCCAAATCTAGGTTAAGGTCAAACTCATTCTCATCGCAATCTTTGACTGCATGCCATGGTAAATCGATACTGTCTTCTCCAAATAAAGCTCTGTCAAATCAGCAGCACTTTGTCAATGACTCTTCAACTGCGGAAGCTGAGGACATTCTGGTTGAAAAAGTACTGGCAGTTAAAACCACTGAGACATTGGAGAATGCAAAACTTGAAAATACCATCCTAGCTGTAAATCATGGAAATGATGTGTCGTCAGATGAAGTTGGAGATGAAAAAGAGCACCTTATGCGAGAGAGCAATATTGAAATGTGTAAGGAGTCTAACTTATTGCAGGAATTAACATTTCAGGGCAATCAACAGTTAGAGAATGATACCAATTCTGCTGCAGGTTTTTCTCCTGGGTCCATGAGGGAGGTGAAGGTGGCACAGGATTCTGATGTATCAATGATTGAGAATATACCAGAAGAAACAACCAGAAAACCAGATTCAGGAGCTCCTCCTAGTTCCTGTTCTGGTTATCTAACAAGCATAACCTCAGAGGAGATGCACACGGTTCTGAAGCATTATAACTTGGAACCACCGAAGGAAAGTGAAATGCATTTGTCTGTAGAGGCCTATTTTGGCTCTGCTCGCTTTTGGCCTTGGGATATCATCTACTATAGAAGGTTGAAGAAGGGACCCATTTCAGTCGAGAACTATGCCAGGCGACTTGCACAAAACGAAGAATTTGGTATTGTTGACAAGTATGTTAGAAGCAGTAGTGGATGGGGTGAGTTAGAGCATGGCAACTTGACAGGTGTAGGTGGTTGATGTGCCAATTTCAGCAATTTTAAATCTGCTTGTTTCTGATACATCTGTTTTTTGAACTGCACAAGTAAGATCCTTGATTAATTTTAGACTGCCAAAGCTTTGAACAGGTAATAGAATATGTTCTATATAAGGTCTATTACTGGTTGTATCCTAGATATTGAGTAATGATGCATAATTTGGAGGTGATGTATTTGAAAATGATAAAGAGTCTTGGTATTTTATCCCACCTATAATTCAAGCATCGCAAGCAGCTAATGTTTAGATTGTGACAAATTTCAGCTATTCATGACTTGTTTTATTTTCTAGCCTTGGAGGAAGTTGTACTAAACATTAATAAATTCTTAAGGTGTTTTTTCCTTTTTAAGAACTACCCTCTATGTTATCACAGGCTTCTTTTGGAGTTTGAATACTATTGCTTGCTTAGTTTTCCTGTAATATTCTTTTTGAGTATAAAAGAATTATATACTCAAGAGCAATAAGAGGGCATGATCCATATACAAAGGCATTTACAAATTCGTCAAAATATCTATCAAGTTCCTAAAGTCACAAAGTGGATGACTCCTGATCAGATCACTCGGGGTTTGAAACCAAGTGCTTTTTAATCTGTCAAAATTAAATTTAATCCCCTTAAAAGCTCCTTCTGTTCCTTTCCATATGATCCAAAAGGTGGCTAAAGGTTTAAGCTTTATCCTCTTATCCCCTTGTAATGCACCTTAAGCATAGAGTTCACTCTTAACTGACCCTGCTATAACCCACGACGACCCCAAGAGTCCATAAGCCAAACTCCAGAGCCTGTGCACAAGTGGGCAGCACAAAAGGATGTGATTACAAGTTCTGTCATCCCTCTTATATAAATAATATCCATTCACAAGAATTCTGCCTCTTTTAATTAGCTTATCTAGAGTGAGAATACATTCCCATGCTGCCTCCATAGCAAAATGGCCACTCTTGGCAAAAGAAAAGAACAGGAAAGAAATATAATATATGTTGCTATTTGAGATCTACTCAAGCAAAATCCGAAACAGACAGTAGCATATAAGTTCAAAGGCAATTAATAAGGAAAAGAATGTGACCTCTTTCCTATGTCTTGTTAGCATTGTTAGTTCTGAGTAACAAACTGAATACGACTGACTTAGGACTCCCCATGATTTACAGGAATTTCAAATTTATCCTAGCATCTTGGAGACAAGTTAATATAATATCCCTAAAATGCCAAAAATATTATAATCAGGAATTTGAAGTTATGTAAGTTATTTTCCCGATAATATTAATATGATGGATCTGACTTTTTTTGGTAAGCGATACAGGTTTTAAATATGAGCATTTTTACAATATAGATTCACTAGTCTGCTTACAAATAGAATTAGAATTATTCGTCTCTCTTTTGGATGGAGGATGGCATATCTTCCATAGATTGTATTCTATTCTCCTTTTCCTAATAATATTTCTTCTTTAGTCAAACAACCAAAGGTTAAAATATTTATTTTGAAGATTCGGGGTTGTGCAAGTTGAGATGGATATTCATGATGCAGAACATTTTTGTATATGTATGGACTTAGCCAGCAACTGAGTGCTAGTGTCATTGACGTGAATCTCTATCTTTCTTTGTGAACTTCAAGGGAGGCTTTGAGACTGTTTGATTGTTTGATGTCTGTTTCCTATGACATTATCTAAGACTTGAAAGGGAGTTTAAAGAGAAAAACAAGTGAAGTTATGATCAAGTATCTATTAGGGCCTAATTGAGAGTTAATCTAAAAATGGTAACATTCACAGTTGTTAAATTGGCTTTTTTGTATTTACTACACACATTAATTTCTTTTTGGCAGCTGCGTTTTAGTGAAGCATTGTTCTATAGCAGCTCTTTGAACCATGTTGGAGCAGTGAAGAATTCAGAATATAAACAATGAATTGTTTGTTCTAGGCAGTTTTCTTCTGGATTTCAAGTATGGACTATCTTTCCTTGGGATGGTATATTGAATGAAGAAGATTTTTCACATATGAAAGCCATTGTACTAGGAATCATATTGTTTAATCCTTGGATAGTTGAGAACATTGCCCCAATGCACATATATCTGGCTGATTGATGGACCATGTAAACCTGGTAAGCTCTTTATATCATTTTGATTGAGGAGCAGCAGATGTGATCTTCTTTCATTGCAGGGTAGATTGTATGCCAAGGAAAGGTACCTTCTTATCCATCATGTTTCTTCTGACCCCAGTGCTTGGATGACTATGTTGGTGCACAACCTTCTCCACTTTTGTGTTATATTTGGCAATTTCTCTGTTTCTCTCTTCCCATTTTTGGCGTGTTCTTGCAGAAATATGACCTTCTTTTCTGAACAATAAAATACAATCTACTGAAAGTTAACAATTGATTCTTAATATATTGTTAAAAAAAGGTTATATTTATTTTGCACCACCTTATGCAAAATCTGTTGACTTTTATTTCCCGTTCATAGATGGAGTGGATAGTGGATATCTGTCAGTTGGTTATCTTATTCTGGTTATGTGCTAAATTCAGAATTTTTTTATCTTTCTTCCACTTTGCACTACTTCAAAAATTAATATAGAAAGCAGATTATTATTCCATAGATTTGCATGTCCTGCCATGAAACATGGATGGAGAAGTGGGTGATGCAAAGCATGTTAGATCATTGTGGACTGAAATTTTTGTGGCCAGATAATATTAATTAGTATGGACCAGGTCCTTTGGAAATTGAGGATCAAAGGGATTTTTTCCTTGTATCCTGAAAGTCTTTACTAGGTCTTTATGCCAACTCTATGAAATGAACTATGACTTTGTTGCAAGCTGCTAGTTAGATGCCTTGTACCAAATACTCTATGAAATGAACTATGGTTTTGCTGTTAAAGGACAATTTATTGAGATTACCTCTTCAGGTTGGCTGTCTGTTCAAAGCAGAAATAATTACATTGCCGATTTGTAACTATCCTGCCTCTCTATTTTCTTCTTTCTTCTAATTGTGTTAATCTGTAATTCCAAATTCTCTTGTATCATTGATAGCAATTTGACCCTCGTGGCTGGGGAATTGAATGCCTATTGACTAGTTAAATATTTGTGTTGGGAAATAGTTGCGGCTGTGTATACAAGGTAGGATCTTTTCTCAGCTTGTTTATAAAAAGAGTTTTTTTTTTTTAAAAGAAAAAGGAAGTTCTTTGTATGATTGTGAAAACCGAGTTTTAAGGCATAAGCATTCTAGTCTGGATTCACTTTGTGCAAGTAAATACTATAACATGTCACATAAATTTTATTGTTCAGTCTCTTCATTGTATTTTGTTTCTTGAACTGAAAGGAATTTAAAGATATTTAGAATGGTCTTAAGAAGAAAGATTATGGATTGACATACAAACAAATATATTTGACACATACATGCATGTCGAAAGAAGAGTTCCATTGTCCTATCTTTTCTGATAATGACTAGTTCTTTTCCTTAGTTAAAAAGTAACTGTTGACAGATGTGACTTGAGTGATCTTTCTGGTTAGGTCCCTGATACCTACAAGTATAACATATATATTGGAATAATAGATGTATTTGACTTCCTTCCCTTTGGTATGAGGAGTTGAAAAATTTTATCATTAGATGCCGTTTCAGTTTACCATTTTTAAGGTTGCAAGAACTGTTAGACTTTTGCTTCTGACATCCATCGATACAGTTTGGTGACTGACTTATGTCTTTTTGTTGTATAGTCTAAAGGGGTCTTTTTGTGTGGTTTAGAGCATAGGGCCAGGGTAACCCAACAAAGTCCTTAGACCTGGTCACTTCCTACCAATAGATTTGGTCCAAAACTAAGTTGCATCTTTTCCGCCGTTAGATGCTTTTGCTGAAGGCTCGAATTTATTTTTAGTGAATTAAAAGATAAACTTAGAGCAAGTCACGGTTGACTTGTTTTTCTACCTGGTTAACTTAGAATCTTTGAGGTGGCTTATTTTTTACTTAGATTGGAGGTATTTCATTACTCTGTATGTGTGTGTAAGAGAGAGAGAGAGAGAGAGAGAGAGGGATGAATGGTGCATGTGTGAGAGTTAAGAAGGTTGGAAAATGGGAAGAGGAGTAAACACAGAATTGAATAGGCAGAACAAGGACAAAGAGGGAAGAGAAGGGAGTTACCAAAACGGAAAATCGCACCAGAACGTGGATTTTAGTGAGTAATGAG